ATGATATATTATTATAAATTATTATAATATAGTTTTTTAGCTGGCTTAGGGCGCTGTCGACATTTAAACCGCCTCTGTATGCAGAAAATCAAAAGGCAATTTTATACAATACTAGCTGGTCGCCGCGACTTGGCCCGCGTGGAATTTTTTTGCGCGAAACTAATTAATTTCCTAAAATAAAAATAGCCTAAGTAACTTCTTATAACAAGTAATCCCTACCTACCAGTGAAAGTCTCATCCAAATCCGTTCACAAGTTTTTGCATGTTCAGACAGACGTCGTGTTAATTTTATTATAATATATAGATAAATATAACATAAACATGACATACTTTGCGTAAGCAACAGGTGTATTACTATTTGAACCGATATATTAACCTAGTAATTCAAAATAATGTGACACAACTTTACGTCTACGTCATTAATTGAAGAGACTTCTTTTATGATCAGTTTTATTGATGAAACATTAAAGGTCTGAAAAATGTCGATTTGTGCAATGGTTTAGCAAGACACCGTCTTAATATTACGATAAACTAATGTTGGATAATACTCTTAACTATATATATAAATAAATTAACACGACCTATATACTTGACGTTATAGAATATTCTTGGAGATTTTTTTTATAGGAGAGGGCTGACAAACGAGCACATAGTCCACCTGAAGGTAAATGGTTGCTGTGGCCCATAGATATCTACATCTATCCTCGCAAAGGTAACACCTAGCAAAAGTACTATCACCACTCAGAGGACACACAAGGGCACACACTAAAGATTCATACCATTTTGTCAGTGAGATAAAAGGCTATGTCTTACTGACAATGAAACTATGGTCAGTTTTGATGTTCAGTCTCTATTTACATGCCTACCTGTTGAAGACTGCATCTCAATTGTAACTAAGAAACTAGAGGAAAACAACATGCTAGCAGAATATGCAGTATTACTCAGACATTGTCTTACATCTGACTATCTATTGTGGAAGGAAGAGTTTTACAAGCACGTAGATGGTGTTGCGATGGGCTCACCGGTATCTTCCATTGTCGCCGATATTTACATGGAGGACTTTGAGGAGAAAGCCCTCCTTACTGCACCAGTAACTCCAAGGTTCTACAAGCGGTACGTAGACCATACTTTCACAATTTTACCATACGAAAAAGTAACTGCATTTTTAGAACATCTCAATTCCATAAACTCTAAAATTCAATTTACTATGGAGTTAGAGGCAAATAATTCTTTAGCTTTCCTAGATGTGTTAGTCATTCGAAATCCTAATAACACCATAGGTCACAAAAAAGACCCATACAAACCGATATTTACGGTGAATCCCACTATCATCCTTCACAGTTTGCTACCGTGGGCAAATCTTTTTTACAGAGAGCACGAGGGATCTGTTACAGCAAACACCTGGCCGCCGAACTTCAGCACGTCAAGCAGGTTCTGCACGACAATAAGCTTCGGGTCCCGCGCCTACGTCACAGAGACCGAGTGAAGCCGGCCACAGTCGAGCGTGTGCCTGCTGTACTACCATATGTTAGAGATGTCACAGACAAGATTGGGTACATCTTGAAGCGAGCTTCTATTAGAATATTCTTCAAGCCGCCGAAGAAGATTAGTCAGTTCTTACCATCCGTCAAGTGCAATATTCCTCTACATGCAGAATGCAGGAGTGTACAAGCTTGATTGTGAATATGGCCTCTCATATATAGGGCAAACAAAACGATCAAGAAAAACCCGCGTAAAAGAACACATAGCTGATGTGAAGCACCAACGTTCCGGGAAGTCTGCAGTTTGTGATCATATCCTAGACGGCCCCCGCCATTACATTAGATTTGATAAACCACAAAGTCTCGTGAAAGAACATCGATTCCTGCCAAGGATGATTCGTGAGGCTATTGAAATTAATAAAACATCCTAATTTCAATAGAGAGGGAAGCTGGGTACTACCACCTACTTGTGATCCTGTAATTAATAAAATTAAAACTAAACCCAAGCATACCACTGCAAGGCTTCAAGATACAGTAAGTTCATTCTGCGTAGATCGGACCAAAATTAATAATTAAAAAAGCTGAAGGTACTCGGGATTAACTCTGACAACGGGACATCAATCACCTCAGTCCCCCGTGACCATGGGTACTGGAAAGCACCCGAAACGTCGGGAATTAATAAAAATGAGCAAAATAAGTTAATTAAACGCAATAAAATCCGTAAAAGTAGTTTTATTCAATACATCTATCCTCTTTAACGAATCAATTCACCCGTGCCTTGTCACCCGTGAGGACTAAGATAAAATGCCTCCGGTTCTCTACACTCACCATACGAAACACGGCAGAATTAAGCTGCTATTTTACGCTGGTATTCTGTGAGAGTGTGGTCATTCCCCGCGAGCCGACCCATAGATGCTGTGACCCATAGATATCTATATCTATCCTCAATAAAGAATCAAAATGCAGATGCGTTGTCACCCGTGAGGACTAAGATGAAATGCCTCTTTTCCAGTAAAAAGGGTCTCCGGTTCTCTACACTCATCATACGAAACACAGCAGTGTCAAGCTGCTATTTTACGCTGGCATTATGTGAGAGCGTGGTCATTCCCCGCGAGCCGACCCATAGATGCTGTGACCCATAGATATCTATATCTATCCTCAATAAAGAATCAAAATGCAGATGCGTTGTCACCCGTGAGGACTAAGATGAAATGCCTCATCCAGTAAAAAGGATCTCTGGTTCTCTACACTCACCATACGAAACACAGCAGTGTCAAGCTGCTATTTTACGCTGGTATTCTGTGAGAGCGTGGTCCTACCCCGCTCGAGCCGAGCCATTCGTGCAACAACCATAATATAGCTACACCGTGGCTCTACCACGTTAAAAAGGATACGTTAGTAACGATGCCACCATGCGACATTATAATTACATTCTATGTTATTGAAATAAAGTCCACAACGACTATGTCAAATATCTCTACGAGGCAATCCATGGGGTGCGTTCAACAGTGGAAGTTTGATAGGTTTTAGTGGAATATAATTGATAAATGGAATTTTTGGCGGGCTTCAGTCATCACTCGGTCTAGGCATTCGCCTATAGAAATAGAAATAGTTTCGAACAATACATCTCATGGGAAGAACCAGCAAAAAACCCCAGCGAGACATTTTTTTTTCATTTAGCCTGGTTTACGTTTAATGTTGATATTTAGAGAACAAGTTCGCATGCACTCCGCTATTTTAGAATATTTACTTAATATTAATTGTGAAACCAGCATTTTTTAATTAATTTCTATCAAGTCTAAACTATTCGGCATGCTTTTCAATTATTTTTATGTTGTATTCGTAACTATTTTTTTAAATTTCGTCGATTTAATTTGGCATTAATAGTTCAGTGTGTGTATTACAACTTTAAACACACAACACACATTTCCGCTCCGCCATCACCGCTCGTCCATCCTGGCACTGGCAAGGCAAACAGTTATTATTTAAAGTTTGTTGAAGCAACGTGCTATATTTCACAAAACGGTGGCAAGCATTTTAATGCGTCGTAGAGCTATGCTGCAGCTGCATGCTGTAGCACGAATGGGTCGGCTCGACCGGGGAAGGACCACGCTCTCACAGAATACCAGCGTAAAGTAGCAGCTTAATACTGCTGTGTTTCATATGTTGAGTGTAGAGAACCGGAGACCCTTTTTACTGGCAACGAGGCATTCCATCTTAGTCCTCAGAGATGACAACGCATCTGCATTTTGATTCTTAATCAAGGATAAATGTACATGTCTATGGGCCCACAGCATCCACTTACCTTCAGGTGGACTGTGTGCCCGTTTGTCACCCTTACTCTATAAAAAAAGGGTGCGAATATGGTAAAAAAAATCTCATCGCTTCCAATACGGGATAACCACCTTGTTTAAGTTAGACATAAACTGCTCAGAAAGGCGACGGGCAGCACCATCAAAAGTGCGAGTCTTTTGTGTGTCTACTTCGATTATAAATCCGACTGCCTAGCGTGAAGATTAATATATATCGTCCCTGCAACCATAGAGGCCGAGGTCCAGCAAGGGAATAATACGGGCTTGACGAAGAATTGGAAGAAAAGATCCAGGATCTGATTATGGAGTAAATTCGATCACAAAATTAACTTGTTGACTGTCAGCCACGATGGTAACGGGACCGAATGCTTTTATTAACTTTAATGCGATGCCAAAAGAAACAACAAAACTCTTGGTACGTACGTTGAAAGTGATCACTAAGAACTGGGTAAGAATAGTACAGAAGGGTAGTGACAAATTATACTTTATTGAATATAGGTTTTTCCGAAACCTGAATTGGAATTATAAAAACTTCGATGCTTTCCGTTAGACGTTAAAGATTTATGAGAAAACAATAGATGGGATGAAAACCACATAAAACATGTGGTTAAGTCAGCCCGCAGTTATGCATTTAAAATTTAAAAATTATCTAAATTAAAAAGTGAACATACACAATTTGAATTTCGAATAGAATAAACTTTTTCAAAATATTCTGTTATAGGTGGGAATGTGGCGCCCTCATCAGTTTTGCAAAATGGACCTTTGACATTTAAAGGTTGAAAATTTCACGTTTGTTTTGTAAATAGGAATCATCGAAACCACATAACATGAACATATGAATTGTTTGTTTGCTTTAGCTCAACATTTCATTGTATGCTTCTACATAAAGGTTAACTTTATTTTATGCTCGTGGAAAAAGTAACGCGTTAGCTCCGATACAATTCGCAAACTTTGTTTAAATAATATGAGCTATATAGAAAATATTAAACCTGCTTATTGATGTAGATTTGAAACTATTTACTTTTAATATAAAATAATTTACAATAGTTTACATATCGACAAATATATACTATAATTGAAAATGAACCTAATTAAGGAAAGTATAACATAAAAATACAACTTGCAAGACACGTAACATAACTCAAGCGACAGATATAAGATTAGAAAGCGTTGATATAGCGGAATTGGGTCATCGAACATCTCTCACCTCTAACGTTTCCGTCCGCGTCGGTGCTTGGACCCGAAAATTTGAGACCTCTTGTCGTCTCATTCATATGTACGACCTCTGCCGCCGTCACAACCTTGAATCCAAGTCCGTGACTCGACACGGTAGAGTTCCACTGCCACTTACACATGTCTACTTGAGAGTTATTGTTAATTTCGAAGTTACAAAACACACCAGTCACTTGGGGCACATAGTTGTACTTGTTCACAGCCTCGTAAGTTGGTCCTTCACGGCGCAGGACCTTCATTTTGTCTGATAGTGTATCCGTATCGTTGTCAGATATAGTTTTCTGATTGATGGCGATCGCACCCTCATTGTCGTTTAGCATGTCATCATTTTGAGCTTTGTGCTTGCGATTGAGCTGCAAAATTTTGTTGAGGTTGTTCTTTCCCCTGCGTCTACCCTCACGTCGGTCTTCCGTTCGGTTCATAAGGTTCGACAGCTTTTGAAAGGAGCCTCGTTCCCGCCCGGGGTTTGCGGACCGCGCTCGTTCTTTTTCCTGCGCCGCGGTTTTCTTCTCCTTACTGTTTTCCATCCCATTTTGATATTCGCAGCTGATGATCGCAATGAGGGTAAGTACGACGATAATCGACCCACGCGCCATTAGTTATTAATGGTGGATTCAGTGATTTAAGTTTCCGCATATAGCCGTTTGTTTTCGGCTCTTATGCACAACCATTTTGCGAGTCGGCAGTTCTTGACGTTGTGTGATTGATTCATAACAAAAAAGGCGTACATCGGTAGCGAGTGATCCGCACGCTGATAACTTTGCTTTATTGTGATATCAAATGGGAGTGCCGCGACCTCGCACGATGCGCTGTCACTCTTCTTTGGATATCCGCCAGTCCTGGAGATACGGAATGGGTCGATAAACTTTCCATGCAACGACATCCGTACATTTTAACACTAAAAGACACTTGTTATCTTCACATAATTGCGTCTTAATCTACACTTTTTATTGATGTACTTATATATCCACAGGTCGATTGTAGCTCGACGACTACATACCCGAAAACTATGGTCGTTAATGGACGATGTACGTTGCAACAGCGCACATGATCATTTCACCGAATGGTGCACACTCGTATCGCTATCAAATATCTCCGGAGAACAAACACGATTCATTGAAGATACTTGCAGCTATACATCCGCAATTTTTCAATTTCCAGCACTAAAATTACGTTTTAGCTAGCCTCTATATCGAGGTACATACATCAACGTCCCACTCCCGTGCACCCTGCAGCGCCGCGGCGGGAATATGCGAAACTAGACGCCCGTGGACAGAAATAATCATTACTTTTCGCGAGATGTGATCTTGGATCGGCGTCCAAGGGATGCTGCGCAGGTGTTAGGCCGCCTTTAGCTCATTCCCGGGCTTTTCGCGCAGGATGTAGTTGCGTCAAACACCGGATACAGCATTGGTCCAATTAAGATCATAGTTCACGTCATACGTAACTGATTGGCGCATTTTGTTACACCGTTGATGCAATTGGTTTCAAATTGAATTTGTGTGAAAGCGCTCCAATACTAATGCGCACCGGATATTACATCGAGAAAATTTCCTCAGAAATTTGTTTACGAGAGCGTCGGGTGGTCGCGGGTTTTTTCGCCGACGATCTGCGGAAATCAAATTGAACATTGATCAGATCCTATTTCTTGTACTTCGCGTAAGCAATTTAACAAGATATTTGTGGATTAAAAAATCGTTTTAATACAATATTTATTAAATGCTTGGTGTGCGATCGATTTTAATAAAGCCACCTAAATTGACAAAACAAAAACAGTGAGTGTAATTTAAAATTATCCATAGCTTAAAAAATCTACATAACCCTGCAACGTTATGTTGCACATGAAGATTTGCTGAAGCAGCTGCTTGCGTTACAAGCAAATAGAATAATATTTTAATTAAAATCACTAATTATTGTTTCTAGACCAGCCAAGATACCTGTTTTCCTTGGCTGGTCTAGAAACAAATAGAGTAGACTTACTACAGACATCGTGTGATATCTGTGGATGTTCCTCAATAATAGGAAAAAAATACTTTATATATTTAATTAAAGTAAAAATTACAATAAGAACTCTTACAATTAAATATTTTATTAAATTTTAATATAATTTCTTTGATGTGCAATGAATCATTCTTTTATCTAATTTGACAGTTCTTTAAATTTTGATGTTTCAAAACGCACGTTACCACTCCTTGACTTTTGTTAGTGTGTATTTTGGTTTTTATAAATTCTAGTTTAATTAGAATTGTACTCGTGTAATTGTGAAATGTCGTGTCTTGTGAATGAGTAACTCATAATTATGTGTCATTCTTGTAAAAGTGAAACAATTGTGAAGTGTGGGTTCAGATTTTAAGTTTGACCAAAGAGAATATCACAATTTAGAACAGCAATCTCCTTAAGGTAAGCACTGCCGTTAAATAAATGAAAAGATACCCAATAAAGTAAACAGCTAACGGCCACAATAAACTTTTTTAAGTTATACTGCGTTTTTTACATCATTGATAGAGATCAAAGACTAAAATAGCCAACTAGATGGGAGCGACGACCTGGTAAATGGAGCAGGTGGTATACTTTGAGGGACGCCTATGTTCACCAGTGGAGTTGTGATGAGCTGTAATTATGATGATGGACTGATAAAAATACAAATATTGTTATTCATAACACAGATGATATCTAGGTTTAGACCCTTTTTACTGGTAACAATGCATTCTATCTTAGTCTTTAGGGATGTTAGTACATCCACATTGTTTTTCTTAATTGCGAATAAATTGGGTGTCTATGAGCCACAGCATATACTTACCATCAGGTAGACTGTGTCTCTTTTGTCACCCATAATCCGATATAAAAATATCTGCCATGTATTTTTAGATTAGGAGTCTTTCAGAGTTAAAAAGTCACAAAATGAAAGATTATTACACTGATTGATACTGAAATTACTGCAAAATATTTTTAATACAGTTAATAATATTTGAAAACAAATATTAAATTGATAATTTTATCAATCCCAAAAATATTCATGACCTGACAAAAAAACAATGGCTAAAACTATAATTGCTCACTCAGATAATCTTCAGATGCTCACCCATCTTTCTCCCTCACTTCCACTAGACTCTAGGAACAACATCCCTCTTCACATTAAGTAAGTTCCCAACAATAGCAATAGAAATAAAGTTCGTGAGCATGTTGAAAATTGATTCAAGTTTGTATTAATGCAGTTTATAAATGTTAACAGTTCTGTTCTGTTAATATATATTTCATATTCTATATCCTAACATAGATAATAATTACATATGTTGAATTCATGAATATGTGTGTGTATATATTGACATAATTACCTATGTACATTTGTATATTTATGTATCATCTTTTATTATCCATTTCTTTTTTGATTTTTACTTCTCTGCCTCTTATTTGTCATATTGTCCTGTGGGTGTCGTAACTGTGGCCACAGAAGAAAATAAACCAGTAGAGGGGCAGCACCATAGGCTTTGTTCATTATTATTTTATATTATCATCACATTGTTTGTGCATCACTTATTTTACATTCGCAATACCAACTAGACGTCTCGTTGGAGGCTTTGAGATAGTGTCGTGACACATGCAGGGGGTGACAGCGCATGCACGCCCATGTGTCAGCCGGCCCCGTGTGCCTATTTCTCAATTAAACACGCTTTGAACAACATAGATTACAGAAAGACAAGGCCGTAATGTAACATTTTCAAACATTTTCAAATTGAACATTTTCAATTGTTTTAACTTGTATTTATTTTGCCACATAAAAGGAGGTAGATATTAAAAAGTTTGCTGTGTGAATAAAATGTATTGATGGGGTGTGATTTTTTAAACTCTTTTGATGTAATGTTGTATTGTTAAGCAAATAAAACAAATACCGTTTTATATAATGGCTTAATTCATAATCCTTACACTTTATGTACAAGAAACCGGCAAAATTATTTTTGAGACTGATAATATTATAAAAATAGAATTTAATATTTGTAAAGAAGAATCAAGAATTGATGCCTATAAGTTTTATATATAGCTGGCATACAAAAGTAAAAAAATATCATTGTTTACTTTAGTGCCTACCGGTATCGCACGATCTCCAGAACAACCCCTGAAACTTGAAGCGTAAAAACATATAACTGTCGGGCCATAAAATCTTCCTATAATATCTCATAGTCTTATCTCCAACAACACCTACAAGAAATTATGGAATGATGAGTGTTCATTCACCAATACTGATTTTTTTGATTAGGAGTTATCCAGTCCTATGTGGGGGGATAATTTTGTCTATTCCACAGTTAGCTTGTTTTGCTGTCAACTTATTTTTTAACCAGTTGGGCATATTTTTGACAAGTCACTCTCTTGTCTTTAAGTATCATAATTATTTCACTATGTACTGTTCAATTCAGATAAGAATAGGACTGACCTGGTGCAATATTGTGACGTCATAGCTGTCAATTCAAACCAGTTAGGTAGGGTGGGCAAAACAGATATTTTTGAACTAATATTTATTTACAAAAGAACCAGGAACGAAAAAGTAAACTATCTGAATCTAGTGTTTCAATTTTGCTCATCTCGACATCATTGTCTGAATAATCATCACAGTCCAAGCCAAGCCAAGTGACAGGTTGCGGTCATTCAAGGTCATTGATGTTCCTATTCTTATTTCAATCGCATTGTAGATCTGTCATTGTTTACAAGGTTTTCTTGGTCATTCCTTTTGTCGACTTATGACACCTACAGGATTTCATGATTTCATGACAAATTGTTTAGAAGTCTTGTGATTCATTATAGATACTATTATCAAAGTAATTATGATCATATCTCAGTTAAAGATAATATTACGTATGGAATAATATATTCATCCTCTGATTTCATTATGCCATTTTATTGTTGTTATAAAGTCACTGAACAGAGTGAACAACCCAAAATAATTCAATGTTATATGTGTCTTGCCTTCAATTTAAATATCTATTTATTTGATGTTCTCCTCGCTTATTTAGTAGTAAAATATTTTTATTAAGGCTAACTATGATGTGATACTTTGTAGTGTTGGTGTAAGAATATTCACAACCCCATATCATCCCACTGCTGAACATAGGCCTCTCCCTTAGATTGCCAAATAGGGGAGATATTGCCAGAGTTGCCACTGCTGACAGCCGCAGCTTTTTATTATTTTAACTTGTTATCAGGAAGATGGTGCTGCTCATCTCCTGTTGGAAGGTTATAGTTTAGTTTCATGTTTCGACAAATATTGGCTATGGCTATGTTTTTAATCCAGAAGCTATGATGCAGTACTCTAGTACTCTGAGCAGCAGGAAGACATATAAAATGAGTAATATGTATTTACAAACTTGTTTGTGACGAATGTCACGCCGTTTACGTGGGTCAGACTGGTCGCAATTTCGAGACACGTTATAAAGAGCATTTAGCCGCGTACAGGAATTGCAATCCCGATAAATCCCATTTTGCCAAACATTTTTTGGACACTGGACATAACCTAGCCAACGACCACTCCTTTAAAGTCTTACATACGTGTAATAAAGGGCTGCGGCTGTGTGTGCTGGAACAGTTAGAGATATTCAAAAGTAAC